CTTCCTCTGCATTCTCATGTTCTCTGAGTCCTTGTTCAGCAGCTGCTCCTCCGCTGACTCTGGACCTTTCTGGTTCCCAATGGCAGGAGCAAGAGTGGCCCGTTGTATGGCATGCATTCCCAGGGGTTGTTCAAAGTTTCAATGATTCACACGCATCCGTGGGTGGGCAACTGCTGTCGGTGCATGGTGGTCCAATTGTGTCACTGTTTCTCTGTGTCATGATAGATCCCAATTGAGCGGTGGCGGCTGGCCTAAGGGCTGGTGTGCAATAGCGCTCGGCGCCGCATGGCTCCCCATGCGCTGGGGGCCCACCCTCTGGGAGCCAGCAGGCAGGAAGCTAGCCAGCCAGAAGGCTGGCGCTCCCCACCCGCAGCTCCCTGTGCGCCGGAAGCCCTCCTTCTGGGAAACCACGAGGCTGGGAGTGAGTCGCCGGTCCAAAGACCTGAAAAACCAGCGCTCCCTGCCCGAGGCTCCCCGTGCGCTGGGGGCCCACCCTCCGGGAGCCAGCAGGCAGGAAGCTAGCCAGCCAGAAGGCTGGCGCTCCCCACCCGCAGCTCCCTCTGCACCGGAAGCCCTCCTTCAGGGGAACCACGAGGCCGGGAGTGAGTCGCCGGTTCGAAAACCGGTGCTCCCCGCCCGAGGCTCCCCGTGCATTGGGGGCTGTGGTCAATTTTTAGTTTCTGATTTCTGCTAACCCTAAAAGTTCTCTAAAATATAAAGTATACTTCAAAAAATAAAGGCATAAAATCAATCCCTGCCTTTTCACTTCAAACTACATATAGCAAAGCAGGTCAAGCAATGTAGAAACCCTTATTAATTAAATCACAGAGATAGAGGCAAAAACTAACAATAAGATACAGAAAATATTCCATCAGAGGGGCAATGGGTTAATGGCAAAGAGCCACTCATTCGTTAATGTTACCACCACACGACCAAACACAATGGCTTCAGCGAGCTGTTATGACCATAGATGATAAAATGAATCTGGAATTGAGAAAAGATTTGGAATTTATTATCCAAAGTCCTGGAGTTCTCCTTCTGCCAGGTTTGATGTCACAAACCTACCCTCTCTGAGCCTCAGTTTCTTCATATATAAAGTTTCTTCATATATAAAGTGGACATATGTTGGTTATCAAAAGAATTTTAAATCCAGACAACTATGCAGAGGGAAGTTGTTATTGTTACTGCACCCTGAATATGTATTGCTAGCCCCAGCTCCCAGTCGGGGGAGGGCTTTATGGAAAGATTGATTGCTAGTGGCTGTTTCTGGCATGAGGTGAATATTGCAATAAGAACAAAAAGACACTCATACAAGGCTCTGACTTCTTAGGGCTTTTGGCTCAGCCCTCGGCTAATCATGACTCCAAACGCTGGCCAGCAAAACAACACAATCACATTGAGTTAGGCTTTTTTCGCGATGTTATGGAACACGCATCAGAAAAAGCAGTCGCGGGGTGTGATGCACCTGGGATTCCCAAGAATGCGCCCGAGGCTCTGCCAGAAGAGGCCCCCGAGGCGTTCAAGTCGTGTAAAGGGATAGCCGAGTTTCCACTTGGCTGGACGAGAGAAAAACAGGCCAGCTGGTAGGATGTGAAAGTAGTGTGCCTGCAAACGTACACTTCTCCTGGGTGACCTGTGGGAAGCATCACCAGGCTCTTGGTAAATCGCCTGTCTTAGAGACTGACTAAGCTGGCCATCTCTGCCTTCTTGATTCCATCTTTGCAAAATAAATCCTCAGGAAAAACTGGGTGCTTTAATGAACAGATCTGTTCCTACAGATTGACAGGTGGGCTTCTATTGGGGAGCACCGTGCCCCTTCCTTATACATCTGTAGTGCCCGAAGTGTGGTCCCCTTTGGAGGACCATTCTATATAATTGTTGAGGAAAAATAATTTCATAGTTAAATTGTGATTAGGGCCTGTCCAAGGTCTAGTGCCTTGCCATGAGGGCCAGCTCTGATGATCTGTGGAAACATAACTCCTTGTGCTTCGGGTCGCAGCTAAGGACTCAGTGGTCCCTTGATGCTATGACGCCCCAAGGGAGATTATATCAGCTGAAGACATCCTGATTCTTTCAGAACCCAGTAGTAATAAAAAGAGGGCTTCACCTTGGGGAAAGGACAAACTTCTTAACCTGCCACTGTCCCTACTGTCCTCATCAACATAAAGATCTTCCTTAGCATAAACTCACCTCAGCCCCGAGTCGAGTGATAATCCCTCTGATTATTGTATCCACCCAATAAATACTGGCTGGCTTGGAGTGTCTTTGTCTCTGCCCATCTGGAGGCACTGACCTCCCAACCCCCCTGTCATGAATTGCTAAATTAGTCTCTGTTTCTTTTTTTATCCTTTCACCATACCCCTCAGACACGCCGTTGGGGATCTTGGCCAGGTCCCTGAGAGTCCCTCCACAAGCAGCCTAGACAATATCTAGAAATTTATTGGAAATGCAAATTCTCAGATTCTATCCCAGATCAAATGAATCACAATGTTGGCGATGAGGACCTAATAATCTGTTTTTACAGGTATCAGAGGGGATTCTGATACTCAGACTTGGTAACCACTGCCCTATACCATCTCCTTTGCCTATTCAAAAACAGTTTCGGCAGTTCTCCTCTCTGCTGTTACACCCTTAGCATCTCCCTCCCCACTTGACCATCTATCAGCATTCATGTTATTATTTTTCCTTTTCTTTTCTGAGGCAAGGTCTCACTATGTAGTTTAGGCTGGCCTCAAACTCACTATGTTGCTGAGGCAATCCTCTTGCCTCAGCTTCCTGAATGCTGGGATTACAGGTATGTGCCACCACACCTGGATTGTTTGTCCTATAGTAAAATAAACAATGTCTTGACTTCACTTCTCTTGCTACCGCTTTATTTTTTGCTTTACTTTAGTTTGGATGAACAATACTCTTCAAACATTGTGTGTTTTCCTCCCAATAGGCTTTACATTTACTCAAATTAGCCTTTGTGCCCGGAACTCTAAGAAATGGCTCCAGTCAAGATTATTCAATGATATTTATGTTGCTAAATCTAATGTACAATTCTCAGTCTGTATTGCACTCCATTGCTATCCCTTCAAGAGGACACTTCTTCGTGTGAGCTTCAGGACTTCACACTCCACTGGTTTTTCTCCTACCCCTGACTCCTTTCTGGCCTGCTTTGTGGGCCCCTCTATTTTCTTGGCCTACATACCAAGTGCCCCAGAAATGAATTTTTGAACATTTCCTTATCTGCACCCACTCTTTTAAGTGATCTCATGTTTACTCTCAGGACTTTCACTGTGAACTATATGCTTATGACTCCCAAATACACACTTCCAATAAAAAAAAATGTCCTCTGAACTCTAGACTCATTTAGAGTATCCCACTACCTGCTTATATTGCTACCAGGATATCTATTAGACAAGTCAAATTTCCCACAGTTCCACCTACCTCCTCTGACTTTTCCTTACCGCACAAAGATAGCTATATCCATAATCTTCTACATTTCATCGATTTTAAAATACCATCTTTCCAGAGCTAAGCTGGACAAACTTGGAGTCATTTTTGGCTTTACCTTTATGACATAGTACATGTCCAGTCTAGCTGGAATTCACACTGGCTCCACCTTCAAATCTATGTTGACTCTAACCATTTTTTCCTGCTGCCCACCTGGCCCCAGCCACCAGCCACTCTCACTTGGATTACTGAAACCACCTTCTGAATGGTGTCGTTGTTCTCTTTATTGCTTTTCTGCATCAATTCTCAGCAACTAGGGCAATCTATTAAAACATAGTAAGAGGATGTCACATGGAATGGCTTCCTATTTCATTCAGAGTCAACATCAAAGTCCACCCCACTCAGTTGCCTCTCTACTTCATCCACCAGCTCTTTCACCCTTGCTCTAGTTATATCAAGCTTGCTACTCCCTAAAACTTCCAGACTTGCTCTTGGCTCATGACCCTTAAACAGCAGGCTTCCAGTATCTGAAATGGTCCCCCAACTCTTTCACGTCTTTCCTCAAGTGTTACTTTTGAAAGTGAGGCTTGACTGGGCATGGGAGTGCCCGCCTGTAATCCCAGCACTCGAGAGGCTGAAGCAGGAGGATTACTGTGAGTCCGAGACCAACCTGGGCTATAAAGTAAGCTCAAAGTCAGTTTGAACTGCATAGCAAGACCCTGTTTCAAAAAGACAAAAGACAAAAAAAAAAAAAAAAAAAAAAAAAAAAAAAAAAAAAAAGTGAGGCTTATCTTGTCTAGTTGATTGAACTGGGAACACCCCTATTCAACCCTGCTCTTTTTTTTTTTTCTCTTTGAGACTGGGTCTTGCCAGGCGTGGTGGCACATGCCTGTAATCACAGCACTCGGGAGGCTGAGGCAGGAGGATCATTGTAATTTCAAGGCCAACCTGGGCTACGAACTGAGCTCAAGGTCAGCCTGGGCTACAAAATGAGCTCAAGGCCAGCCGGAATTGCAAAGCAATACCCTGTCTCTTTATTTTTTTATTTTTTGTTTTTTTGAGACAGAGTCTCGCTCTGCAGTTCCGGCTGGCCTTGAGCTCACTTTGTAGCCCAGGCTAGTCTTTTTTTGTTTTTGTTTTTGTTTTTTTATTTTAAAACATCAGTTTACTATACTGATTAATTCAACATTTATATTTTCATCAGAACTTAATAATCCCATAAATAAATAGAGCTCTCAATTATTTAAAAAAACCAAGGGATAACATATGCATTTAGACATATTATTAGCATAAAATGTTTGCTTCAACACACTTATTGGGAAGAAGTCTGAAAATATTACTACACTAAATTCGAGGGCATCTGCAGGAACCTGACATAAAAGTTCTCTAACATTTCAGGAAATTCCAAAAAAAGGAACAGGAGTCAAATAGGAAATAGTCTCAAATTAGTCGACAAAGTTCAGTGCTCGCTCCCACTTGATTTTTCTGTCTCTCCATTGCAGAAACAAAACAAAACAAAAAAATAGTTTCAGGATGGGTGAATCACTTAGATGAAAGTTCATCTACCGGAATAAAGGGAGAGGCCGCCTCGGCAGTGACACAGGAGCGGCGGTGGTAGTGCTGACTTTCACTGGTGAGTTACAAGGAGAATCCATACTGCTGTTGTTCCCAACGAGAGTATCCGAAGACACACACACACCGGGTTCTGACAGCTGCGCAACGTCAGAAGAAAGCATGTTGGTGATGCCCTGAAAAAATCTCTTTGGTTGATACTCGATTTCCATTTCACATTTTCTTTTCAATGGTCCAAGAACACTTGGTCTAATGCAGCTGATGGAATTCTGGCTTCGCCGGGTGGTAAATCTGGTAGTTGGGCGAGGAGTAGGGCTTGGAGGCAACCCATTACTACTCACAAAACTTTGCAAGGAAGGTGAAAAACACTGCTTTCCGATTCCGCGGGTAGGTGACGGTGCTGGTGACACTGGAATGAAATCGATGCGCTTTGGGAAGGCCGATTTCTCCACATCATTGTCACTCAGACTGAAACGTTCCTCCCAGGAGTGGCTTATCTGCATGGCGGTCTGCACCTCGCGCTCGTGGACCGTCTCTCGGCTGATCAAGTCCATGCCCTCTTCCCGTTTGATCTGGTGCAAGCGGCTGCCGTGCATGCGGACCCGGGAGGCCGGTAGCAGCAGGCCATGGCTGCTCGGGAGCCTTGTGCCCTTCCTCCTTGCCCTCAGCGCCTCGGCCTGGAACATTGGCGAAGTGTCACTGAGGCCGTGGATCAGCAGGGAGCTGTTAGACCTCCTGAAGCCCCAGCCGCCGCCACTGCTGCCGCTCTCCGCTGGGCTCCCGCCTGTACCCAGAGGCAGCTCCAGATCCAGCTCCATCTTCTGAGCCCTGTCAGGAGCAGGGAGGGTAGGGCGGTGCTCCGTCAAGGCCCTAAGACTCCCATTCCCAGCAGCCCCCTACCGCTGGCGCTGCCTTCCAGAATCTGTCAGTGGGCTCGCACCTCTGCGCCCCAGGCTCGACTTGAACTCACAATGATCCTCCTGCCCCAGCGTCCCTAGTGCTGGGATTACAGGCGTATATGCCACCACGCCCTGCTATCCTGTTTTTTTTCTCACCGCACTTACCAGTTTCAACCTATTATTTACACATGGTCTTAATCTCTTCCTGTTGCTATAACAAAATACCATAGACTGGGAAATTCATAAATAATACAAATTGATTTCTTGCAGTTCTGGAGGCTAGGGAGTCCAAGATCAAGGTGCTGGAAGATTTCACTTCTATGCAGGGCTGGCTTTTTCCTTCCAAGATGATGCTTTGTTGCAGCATCTCACATAGTGGAAGCCAGAAAGCAAGAGGGCAAGTGGGCCAGGGAGGCACTTCTCTGAAGCTTCTTTCTAATGGCATGAATCCCTTTGAACCGTCATGACTTAATCACTTCTGAAAAGGCCCCTCCCTCTAAACACCATCACTTTGGGGTTTAAGTTCCAATACATGAATTTTGGAGGAACATACACATAACCTATCTACTTTATTGCCAGCCTCCCCTTCCCAGTATGTACAAGCACATATGTCTTTGTCATGGATGAATCCCTAGCAACTTGTGCAGTTCTTGGCACATGGTCAGCACTCAACAAATATTTGTTAATGTTCAAATGAATGAATAAATGAGTAAGTTAGTGCATGAATAGATGCATATGGAGTTCTTCTGGGCCTTGGTGATACTGATATCATCACTCTGTGTCTTTGATCTTAATGTATCTTGTCCAGAAGTGTTGGTAAATTTCCTTTAGTTGTCATAAGCTCATCTGGATTTCATTTTTTACTGCTATCAACAGGGAACATCATATCTTCAAAGTCTCAAATTAAACAGAATATAAAAATGGAAATGGAAGCAGAAAGGAAGCTGGATACCCCACAGTGTAACTTGCAAGGGGGACTAATACTCCTAAGCTTGAAAATATTCACTATTGTTGGTGTTAGTTTTGTATCGTGGCCAGAAGAAAGAAATGGCACTTGAAACATGATTGCAGTAGAGTTCAAATACAGAAGACTGTGGTGAAAGCCAAGAAGAATGGCAGGACATTTCAAATAAAGGTAGGGAAATCAAAACTGAGTGAAGAGCAAGTGGATTATTCCTGCAACACATGGGAAGACTCTGTGGTTTCTTCAGATGAAGCAATGAACCTGGAAAGCAGATGAAATCTCAGTTTCCTGGGCCAGGCGTGGTAGTGCACGCCTGTAATCCCAGCACTTGGGAGGCTGAGGCAGGAGGATTGTTGCGAGTTCAAGACCAGCCTGGGCTACAAAGAAGTGAACTCAAGGCCAGCCTGAAGTGCATAGTGAGACCCTGTCTCAAAAAGACAAAAAAAAAAAAAAAGAAATATCAGTTTCCTGATATTGTTGCTGTAACCAATTACCACAAACTTAGTGGCTATTTTACAATTTTGCAGTATGAGAAGGGTCTCACAGAACTCTAATCAAGGTGTTTACGGGACTGTGGTTCTTTCTAGAGGCTCTTTCCATGGCCCTGGGGAGAATCTGTTTTCCTGAGCTTTTTCCAGCTTTTACATGCTGCTCTCATTCCTTGGCTCATGACCGCTTCCATCTTCAAAGCCAACAATGGCCATTTAAGCCTTTCTGACAGCCCATTGCTCTGAAACTGATACTTCTGATTCTTTTCTATTCAAGGGTGCTTCCATTGACATTGTACTCACATGGGCAATCCAGGATAATCTCTGCTGTATTTTAAATCACTTGAAGCAGGGCGTGGTGGGGCACGCCTGTAATCCCAGCACTCAGGAGGCTGAGATAGGAGGATCACTGCGAGTTCAACGAGCTCAAGGCCAGCCTGAACTGCATAGCGAGACCCTGCCTCAAAAAGACACAAAATAAATAAATAAATAAATAAGTGACTTGAAGCCAGTTGCAGTGGTGCAAGCCTGCATCTTACCTATTCCAGAGGCTGAGGTAGAGAATGATTGTGACTACAAGGCCAGCATGAACAACACAGTGAGATGAGATGCTGTCTCAAAACAACAACAAAACCAAAATGATCATCTGAATGACAATCTTAATTCTAGTTGCCACTTTATCCTTTTGGCCATTGCTATAGTTTGAATCTTAAATGGGCCCCCAAAGGTCCACATAGTAAAGGCCTGCTTCTCAGCACAGTCATATTGAGAGCTGGTAGAACCTTTGGGGGATACAGTCATTTAGGCCACTGGTGGCATGCTCTCAAAGAGGTAATGGAACTCCAGATCCATCCTCCTGTTGTTTGCTCCTTGGCAATGAAATGTGTAGCTTTGTTTCACTTCCTGGTCCCTCATGATATGTTGTCCCATCATGGGCCAAAAGCAACAGCCCAACCAAGCAAGGAATGAAACCTCCAGAACTGTATACCCAAACAAACTCTTCCTCTTTATAAATTGATATATCAGGTAGTTATGATAGTGACAAAGAGCTGACTAACGCAACCACACAAAATAACATATTCATAGGTTCTACAGATTTGGACATTGAGATCTATTCTGCCTACCGTAGATAGTAAGTATCCAAATGAGAACAATCTTTTTTTTTTTTTGAAAGAGATTGATTCTAGTAAAAAAAAAAAGAGGCTCTCTTTTATCCAGATTGAGCACCCAGGGGCTCTGAAAAAAAAATACCATTTGATATACCCTCTTTTGCTTTCAAGAATACTTGAATGCAAAATATACCTTGATTAGAAGTGAGACAGTGTCCATGGCAAACAGGAAATATTTATTTGATCAATGATTCAAAAGCAGGATGGAAGTAGAAGTGATTTTACTGGCAGCTTTCGGCATGAGTGCTTATAATCTCTTGGGGCAAATAAAACCACTTCCTACAAACAATTTTCTATCTCTCCTTATGTTTTATAATAACAAATCTCAGAGATAAGTGACAGAAGAAACAGTAATATTACTAGTCAAAAAGTAATAGTTAAGATTTTCTCCATGAATGCTCTTAGGCTCAAAAATTATGGCTATTTCTCTACTGGCCTATCTTACTTGGTTTGGATGATGTATGTAACTTTCTGATTGATCTGTATTAGGTTTTCCTCTTTCCTAGCTTCCATGAAGGTTGGCGAATAATGTCTGAATGAACACTGCAGTGCAGGAAGGAATTCACACACTTGGCATTGGTAACACCCTACCGTGGATTCTCAGATTGTCCCTGATGGAAGATAACACGGGCCCTGTGTCCGAGGACTGTCATTTCCATGTTCCTAGTGCTCCACATTTGTCCAAGCCTACACTATGTCCAGTACATACTAAGCCTTCAACGAATACTTCTTGATTGATTAGGTTACATATGTGTGGAGCGAATGGATTAGAGCAGATGGGCTTCATCTGGGGTCTTACATGAGTCTCTTCAGAATCAGGTCCTGAGATAAGAATTTGACCCAAGTAGTATGTTAGCGAAGAACTTTTAGGGAGAAGCAGATAAATGAATAGGGGAGACAGTAAAGGGAAGAGGACGAAGACAAGTGAGGGAAGCATTTCAGGGAGAGCCCCAGTCTGCTTCATCCCAAGGGATGCTCCAGAGTCTGATTTAACCTCCAAATTTGTACTTCCTTGTGTGGGGAAAGAGCTGGACATTCACAGTTCGGTACCAGTCATTGGTTGGCGAAAGTTTACCTTGGGGAGCTGTGAACTCGTAGGCACTTCCAATTCTCAACGAAGTGGGCAAAATGACTCCAAACACCCCAGGTATGGCCGCCAAAGAGTCATAGATTCTGGCTATTAATAAAAACACAACTAAGGTATAGAAATTACTATAGTTTGGATCTTAAATGTCCACCAAAATCCCAGGTACTCACGGCTTGGTCACTAGCCTGTAGTGCTATTGGCAGGTAGTGGAAATTTTAAGACTTGGAGCCACCTAGGAGGAAGTTAAGTAAGTTGGGTGTGCCTTTCAGAGGACTGTGGAACTCTGGCCTCTTTCTTTCTTCTCTCTCATATCTGGCCATGAGATGAATGGGCTTCCTCCAGCCTATATTTCTACCATGATGTACTGTACTGCCACAGCCCAAAGCAATGAGGCCAGTTCATCCTGAATCTGCAGCCTCCAAAACTGTAGCTCAAATAAACTTCTTTTGAAGTTGATTAGTCAAAGGTATTTGTTACAGTAACCAAATGTGGGCTAACATAAAAATTGTCTGGGGGGCTGGGGATTTAGCTCAGCGGCACAGCGCCTGCCTGGCAAGCACAAGGTTGTGAGTTTGATTCCCGGTACCAGAAAAAAACAAAAAAACAAACAAACAAAAAAAAATGAAAAATTGTCTGAGGGTCCTAAGGAGATCTAAGTGGAGCCTTAATAGTGTCCATCATAGTTTCTTCCAGCTCTACATTTATAGAAATATTGCTGTAAAAGGATGATGTATATTTGCACATGCAAAATTTCACATTTTGAGAATTCTGAATGAGAGATATCCCTGTAGGGGACCGGAGATATAGCTCAGTGGCATGAGTGCCTGTTGGGCAAGTGTGAGGTTGTGAGTTCAGTTCCTGGTACCACAAAAAATAATAATAATAATAATAATAATAATAATG